ATCCGTAAATGTTATATTATAAAATTATTGTTATTATTATTATTATGTTATTTTTTATTATTCGCGAATGTTAGCAACTGGACAAATTGAATGCAGCGGTCAGGGAAAAGCGACCAGAATTGGTCAATCGTAAAGGTGTCATTTTCCAGCAGGACAATGCTAGGCCGCACACGTCTTTGTCAACTCGGCAAAAATTAATGGATATTGCTTGGGAATTGATGTTACACCCACCATATAGCCCTGATCTCGCGCCATCGGATTACCACTTATTTCGATCCTTGGACAACTCCCTTCGTGGTAAAACTTTTAATGATGACGACGCTGTAAAATCTCACTTAACTCAGTTTTTGGCCGAAAAGGATCAGACTTTCTACGAGCGTGGAATTTTCAAGTTGTCAAAGAGGTGGCAAAAGGTCATCGAACAAAATGGAAAATACATTACAGATTAAACTTCGTTCCAAGTAAAAAAAATTTGTTATTTCATTGAACAAATCGGCAATTACTTAGTTGCCAACCCAATACTATTCGTCATCGTTTTTTTTTAGCCACTTGTTAAGTAAATTTATAATAAAAACATATTATGATTAATATTGCCTCCTTTCGAAATCAATTCAATTAAATTCGTAATAAAGACATATTATAATTGATATTGTCCCCTTTCGAAATCAGTTCAATTAAATTCGTAATAAAAACATGTTATAAAAATCAATTAAATTACTATTAAAAATGAATTATAGATCGAAAGTAAAAATGGACTAGGAACGAAATTTATAATAAAACTCGCTACAAAGATGTTTCTCTAAAAATAGTTCAAGATTCAGTATGTCTCCAATGAAAACTGGACTTTTGCGAGAATAAGATTTCAAGCTTACCAGGAAAACAACAAATAGTTATAGAACAATGCATCATTAAATTATATTCACTCTAACGATTAGGAAAGATCGTATTTCATTCTCACGCGAAAGAACGAAATGACTTTACGAAAAAACAATCTTTTGTTAAACAATCGTAACTCGTTACAATAGTATAATAACGTCTCAGAAGCTACACCTTGGAATCGTACGTTCGGGTTTTCGAGATCGTTTAGCTCGTTGGACACCGCAGCACAGTAGGCCGAAACGACAAATTCGTGTCAAAGTCAAAGAACCTCTGATAGGGAATGCGACAAAGCGACGCAGTCTTTTTCACGTTAAAGCTGAAACGTTGTAGAATAAGGGCAAAATGGGGAGAATATAGTACGAACGTTTTCTAACCTTGAAAATTTTTTTTTATATTGAACTTGAAATACTGTAACGAAATGTTGTTTTATCCAATGCCGTGTACATTTGGATTTTTGCATGACATGTTACACACCACATTTCCCGTAGTTTTTGACACGCCAATTTTGAATTTGGTCGAAAAATTTATCTACCGCTTCGGGATTTTGAAACAAATCGTTCCAAGTGAAGAAGCTAACGAGATCACGATTTTTTCGTTGAAACGATTCGTTAATCCGCGGATCTTTTTTATAAATTTTACGTAGCGATGGATAAATTTTGCGACCGGACTTGAAATCAGCGTGTCAAAATCTACGAGAAATGATGTATACAACATGTCATTAAAAAAGGCCCAACTATATAAGATTATTTCACAGGGTTAATCACACAATTTTGTTGAAATATTTCAAGTATACGGGGTGTTCACCGAAATAGTCGCCACGATTTTTGAGGCATTTAGGCCAATCTGACAAAAAAATGTTTCCGATAAAAGTTACTCGGTACTTTGATGGGAATAAAGTGCATTAATAAAAATTGCGAAAATTTTTTTTATTCAATAAAAAAAACTAAAGTTACCTTGACTTTTTTAAATAGCACTGTGTATTTTTGTAACTCCATATTGTTATAGCTGATGAAAAAATGAATTCAGTGATCTGTCATACAATGACCTTCGGATGACCTTGAGCTCAGAAATTGGCAATAATTAAGAAACTAAGTTTCCTACGAGTTAATGAAACGTATACGTAATTTATAGTCAATGATAGTTTCGAACTAAATGTGAACGGTAAACACACATCTTTAATTCGATATTTTCTTTATAGTACATATTAATTTATTATAATAATGGTAATGATATAGAACAAATCCGGAATAGTTTGACCACCGGGAGAGATCGACCAGTATTGATGCTTTAAAACCAAAGCAAGATAAGGCTCTGTGTGATGTAAACGAAACAAATATATATTCATTTTGTTGGTGGGGTCCCACAGCGACAATTGTTATAAACAGAAAAGAAAAATGAAAATTGTATCTAACATAACAATGCTACAATTTTTTAACAGGAAGTGGTCAAATTAACCCGGACTTACTTCAATAAATGTTCAAAATAATACTATGTCAGCAAAAGATCAAATCAAAGTTAAGAGTGTGTACATTGCAACAGTTTACATTCAGTTCGAAAGTATTATTTACTATAAGTAACGTTTACGTTTCATTAACGCGTAGGAAACTCAGTTTCTCAGTTATTGCCAATTTCTGAGCTCAATGTTATCCGAAGATCCTTGTATAGTGGATTACCGAATTCGTTTTTTCATCAGTCATAACAATATGGAGTTAAAAATACATAGTGCTATTTAAAGAAAGCCGAGGTGACCTTAGTTTTTTATCGAATAAAAATATTTTTCGCAATTTTATTAACGCACTTTACTCCCATCGAAGTACCGAATAACTTTTATTCGAAACATTTTTTCGTCAGACTGACCTAAATGCCTAAAAAATCGTGGCGACCTTTACGGTGAACACCCTGTATATGATATTGTTTCATAACAACTGCATTAACAACTGGAGCTCTTGGATAACAAGACTGGATTTTTATTTAAACTATCTACGATTATTATTCTAATATATGCTTGAACACGAAGAAATTCGTACAAAAATATCTGACAAAAACATTTCCATAACATTAGGGATCGTAATCCAGTCATTTCGACTGGGTTAAAAAATGCGTTAACAAATTGCCCCCGTACAACATTCCCTTTATTCTTCAATTATTCTACAACGTTTCAGCTTCAACGTAGAAACAAAAAATTGCACCGCTTTATCCCACTCCTATGAAAAGTTTTTCGATTTTGACGCACCGAACTTCGTCATTTCACCCGACTGCTCGACGTTTCCCGATCTCGATCGCATCCAGCTCGAAGATCCCGCGCGAGATCAATAATCCTTGTACCAGTTTCGCTGCGTATCAGGTCCCAGAACAGGCCTGGAAGGTATTCCCGCCGAGTGGCACCGGGAAACAAGACGGAGCGCGTTCGAGTTCGAGAAAACTTTTCCCTCGCAGCCAGCAGCAGCAGCAGCAGCAGCAGCAGCAGCATCATCACCATCGCGTCCTAACCGTAGCTTTCGTTTTCCAGCCATTACATGCGACAGATCCTGGAGGCGCTGCGCTACTGCCACGAGAACGATATAATTCATCGTGATCTAAAGCCGCAGTGCGCACTCTTGGCGGGCAAGGCAAATTCCGTACCGGTGAAGCTACGCGGGTTCAGCGTCGCCGTGCAGCTCCAGTCTTGCCAGGCGAACGGCGTCGGTATGTTCACAACCTTTTTCACTCCTATTCATGGTTTCTACGCGTGTACAATCGTTCCCGGGGAACGTACCCGCCGCCGTATGCGCTCTCGAGGGAACACCACTAACGGCGTTAGCCCTCTTCAATGCCTTTTTCGTCACTCCTTTCCTCTTCCTCCTCCTCCTCCTCCTCCTCCTCCTCCTTCTCTTCTATTTTCATTTTTCACCCGTTCAGCCCCTTGCCTCGTTTCTCTAGACACTAAAAAGCGAAATTCGACGGAATCCGATGAACCGATCGACGACTCAATACGAGACCGCGAATTAATGTCGGTCGTAGTTTCCGGTTAACCGATTCGTTTACGATTTGAAATAAACCGTTGGATTAAAATCGCTTGTTTCTAGCCTTTTTCCAGGGACTGTTGCTCGCAACCGATTATTATCTGTCGTGACGTTATTTAGGTTATTATTATTATATATATTATTATTATATATATATTATTATATATATTATTATTATATATATATTATTATATATATTATTATTATATATATTATTATTATATATATATATTATTATATATATTATTATTATATATATTATTTAGGTTATTCCTGTAAAATGCCGTGCTCTGTGAAACCGTGTTATACGAGATCCAGAGTCAGTACAAAAAGGGGGGTTATGTACCGAAAACTTACTAGACACAAATATTAGGTCTACCGGAAAGTTCTGTCCGATAGTGTCACTTCAAGTTTCAATCCATACGCACATGTTGATTTGAGACATATATGACTATCTCTCTTTATCATTGCATTTACACACATGTACTCTCCTAAATAAACTGAAACAAGGATGTCTCATGTCATTATTAAGTGAGACGCGATCGTGAAAACATGGCTACCGATGATAATGCCAGACCACATGCTGCTTTGGCGACTCGTCAGAAAATCGCAGAGCTAGGCTGGCAAATTCTGTCGCATCCACCATACTCCCCAGACCTAGCACCCTACGATTATCACTTGTTTCTCTCTTTGCAAAACTTTTTACAGGAAAAAAAATTCAAAACTGAAGCTGATGTGAACCAAGCACTAGTTGAGTTCTTCGCCGCTAAAAATAAATCATTTTTTAAAAATGGCATTTACAAGTTGCCATCACGCTGGCAAGAAGTCATGAATATTATTAAATGTATGAAAATTGTGTTATATTTCAATTCGAAAACGGACAGAACTTTCCGGTAGACCTAATATTTTCTTTTAAATTCCATATAAGCAACTAAACTTTGATTAAAGATATAAATGTATGTATGAAACAAAACGAAGAAAGAAAACAAAAAATATTATTTTCATTTAATGTAACCTTAATTTAACGAATTTCTTCCTCGTCACTACTCAGTACAATCGAACGAGAATGTTTTTTTGGTTGAACGATATCACGTTCACTTTCTGAACCTTCTTCTTCATTCAGATTTTCTACACCTTCTATCCTCTTTAAAAAATCTGTAATTTTGGTTTGTTTGCTGGTTCTTACACAAGGTTATTGTAGATTTCATGGTATGAAGATAGACAATTTTGCAGCTCCCTTTTGAATTTCCGGCTTCTTTCAGCGGAAGAGCATATATTTATACACCCTTAATTATAATAATTATATTTTTGTCAAGACATTATAGTACCTTTATTATTTATTCCTTCTGGTTATTATTTTAAGGTAATTTAGTTTTTAAATATGTTAAACAAAAATTATGTTATCCAGTGCTGTAGAAGTATAGTGTCGTGCAAAGATTTAGGATGCCGTGTTGTAGTAGGGCTACCCGTATTTTATATTTTTGTAATTATGTTATATTTTATTTTTGTATTATGTTATATTTTATTTTTATATTATATTATAGTTTATTCAGATGGCTTTACTAGTGAACAGACTGCGGAGATTTATGCAAAGTAAAATTTATATTCGTCAGTTGCAACGACGACGAGTGAAATGAAAATTTCTTTCTTTGTTTCTTTAAAAATCTCAGCGAGTTGAAAGTAATACATACAGTGATGAGAGCAATTACAGACACGAAGTAACTTTTACATTTTTAGTGACATTTAAACATGAACTTAACGATATATCGTATTTGTATATTTGTATATTAGAAATGACGGAAAATAGGAACATACAGATATAGCTTTTTGTTGATTTTCGTTTAGATATCAGTAACAATGTAAAAGTTGCTTTTTGAGTCTAGAATTGTAGGTGTGTTTAAATTCTTTGAAACCTTGGCACTTAAAAGGTGCAGCTGAGACACTACTAAATATTATGCTATGCTATATTATTTTTTAAAGTAATTTTTACGTAACTAAATTGGTTTATATTTGAAGAGTTGTTGAAATTTTAAGTACTATATGCGCACATAAGCTCAATTTCGGGTGCATTCAATACAAGAATAGTATAAAAATAATAGCAAAATAATAGAAAAATAATAAAGAAATAATAGAAAAATAATAGATAAATAATAGAAAAATAATAGATAAATAATAGATAAATAATAGAAAAATAATAGATAAATAATAGAAAAATAATACAAAATGAAAATGCTGCAAATTAGAAAGAATATCTTAGTTTTCAAGTCGAAATAGCCCCGAGTGCAAAAGGTTAATATTTTCATTATTTGAAATTTCCATTTGAAATCCACTTATTTGTATTATAAATGCATAAAATCCGCAGTCTGGCAACAACCAATGGGACAAATATGTAGTTTAAACGATATGTTTCTCGTTAAGAGACGAAGAGGTATATTCTTTTATTATTCTTCTATTTTTTCATTACCAAATAAATTTAGTAGTCTGTTATATCACGCTATTTTTCTAGACATTTAAAAATACTAAAACATAAATGTACGGCGCAGAAAAACAGAAAAGAAAAATGTGCAAAAATTTGCAAGTATAAAACGTTATAGCGTCTACCGTTTGAAGTACACACGGCGTGGTAATGACACTTCATCAAACGCAGCTTCACAGGAAACTTATTAAGGAACCTAAAAGCTAAAAGAGAGCACCTCTGTTATATCTATAGGAAAAAAAGTGGTTCGGAATGATGACTTCGACAGCATTAAAACTGAACCTATCGAGCACTAGAAATGATCTATGTGTATAACTTTGTAGGAACGATTATTCAAAAAATTTTACTAAAAGGTTGAAAAGCGTCCATTTGATCGTTCGCGTGGGTTTAATAATAACACTTATTATTATTATTTTATAATAATAACACTTATTATTATTATTTTATAATAATAACACTTATTGTTATTTTATAATAATAACACTTATTATTATTTTATCATAATAACACTTATTGTTATTTTATAATAATAACACTTATTATTATTTTATCATAATAACACTTCATATATCGTAGATTTTTTTAGTGTTAACACTTTATTTATCGTAGGTTTTTTAGTGTCAACACTTCATTTATTTAGAAGCCTATTAATAGATAATTAACAACTGCTTTTAAATAATAATGTCAAAAGAACGTGTCACATAATATATATGAATCGAAACAATTTGTTGGATTCAGAATGAAATTGTTATCGCTTTTGAACAATTTCTTTTTTAAAGAAATTTACAACTGTTGATCTCCGATTTTGAAATGAGTATTAAAAAATTGCCGGTGGATAAATTATTAATGAGGAGCATTCAGGCGAAAATCAACTACCAGCGATTTTCCAGATAAAAGTTTTGCAAATATACATTTTGAACATTTCTTGCTCGAATTACAGTGCAAATTATTTTGGCAACATAAAATCCCCATTATAGTGTAGTTTTGATACGGTCTAGATTAAGACGATAACGTTTGAAGCCAGAATGTTTAAAAAATATCAATAAAATGTTAATAAATAAATAAATAAATAAGTAAATATAAAAAAATATAGAAAGATATAAAAAAATGAAGAAAATATAAAAAGATTTGGTATTAGGGAAACCATTCAAAACGAAGAAGTGCTAATCAACATTAGCCGCGACTGAAATCGCAGTGCAGTGATAGAAATGAATCTGTTTATTTGTCGGTTCGCGCAGCTGGTTCAGAGAATTCGTAGATATTTTCCGGAGAAAATCCGCAGTCGAATGACCAGAGATAGAAATAAAGAAATTATAAGGAAGGACAGTTAAAACGTACCATAAATATAAAGATTCGAATTTACGAGCGAAACCTGATTTCGCGGATACAACCCGGTGGAACCGCGCCAATAAAAATCCGTCGAAACACGAAAATAATGAAAGCCGATCTGGCAGTTGATTTTGGCGCTATTTGCTCTCGTAAGAACGGCCACACGCCCGCCTCGGGGAAATCATCTGCATTATTCTCACAGCCGTATTCGCCGAACGGACGTCGGCGTGATCCGACATCTTGTTTCACTATTCCCAATCGTATAACATCGCGAGAAATATTGCACGTTCCGATACGAGCGCTTTCGTACGCTTATTACCGTCGAACGAGCTCCAACACAGTCAGCTCATAATAATTTCATTGTATTGGAGTGGCAAATGGAAAATTTTTGTGAGCGTGTCGAGTCTTTAAGAGAGATTGTTCAGGCGAAAATCAGCTACCAGTAATTTACCGGATAAAATTTTGAAAACATACATTTTACTAGAATTTTTCACGCTGACGTGAATTATTTTTGCAAGTCGTTTTGTCGACCAATTTTTCTGACAGTAAAAAGTAGTTGAAATTGAACTGATCCAGAATGTATTTTATAAATACAGTAAGAAATACAGTAAAAGTAATGTAAACATACAGTAAAAAATACAGTAAAAGTATAGTAAAAAAATATTGTAAATTCTTTGGTAGAAAGAAAAGCCAAATATGTATTCTGTTAATAAAATTAAAAGTCAGTTCGATATACGAGGGAATAATAAGAAATAAAGAAACAACTTGACAAACGAAAAAAATTTCTTTATTTTTGTTCTATAAACAATATCAAATAGTAAAAATTTGGCATAGAGATAGTCAAATAAAATGTTGTAAAATGCAAAAATATTGTAAAT